AATCCGAAACAGGATTTTCAAATACATCACTGAAATCAAAGTCTTCCACCAAAAATTGATAGTTGTAGATCTAATGCAGCGAGCGTTGATATAAATATGTTTTATAAAAAAGAATTTTTACATGAAATAATTCGAAGTGGTCTGTATTCTATCGAAACTGCCAGACGCGGATCGCGATTTCGAGCCTGCGACGCACTGATGAGATCCATCCTATCACGTTGAGGTTGGCTACGCCGGGATTTGTTTTCAGCGAGTAGATATCCACACAAGTGGACCTTGTTGGAGCATACGTAATCCAAAAATGTAGCATCGTGCTACCACGCCATTTGTAGTAGTTTCTAAATTTTTAAATGCTTTGTAACCAATTACAATCTTTTCACAAGATAGACTCAAAATGGTTGTAGAACGTACGAATCCAATATCAAACATTTTCACAAATCTAGACGAAAAGAATATTACAGGTGAAAATATTGAAAAATTGATTCTGTTATATCAACAGGCCTGTTTCATTAGCAGTCCTTACTCAGTTAAGAGTTATTGATATATGCCAGAAGTTCGATTGCTCTTCTATACAAGATATCATAAAAATAGTTGCTAAATATAAAATAATAAAATGCTATAGGTTTTCGGAAAGCTTTTTGACTTTGTCAGTCAATATTTACAGCGAGTTATTCGGTGAGTTCGAACGAAAGAAAATTGACTTTACTTAAAATAGTCAGGTCCATCATGAAAGAGGAGAGACTTACTGCCCTAATGAAGGTAAAAAAGAGACCTTTCCGACACTCTTGACCTAAACAAAATGGTTTTATGATCGAAACTTAAACACAGGCGAATTCGAGTAAGCTAATAATACTTATTAACCTATTGGATTAGGTATTTATTTTATTAAAATAAAGATCGAATCTATTCAATACTTCTTAATCTCAATAAATAAATAAATAAATCAGATTGTTTTGCGTGATCGGGTATGGTCTACATGCACATAATAATGATAATAAATAAACAATAAAATAATCGAGAAACTAGGAATGAACCACCCTGGTGGAGATATATCTACAACAAACCACGCTTTTATACAATAATTAACAATTTTTGACAATTTTTTTTGTTGTAGACAATTGTAGAAAATTGTTATAAAATTATTCACTTTCTACGAAAAATTGAAACTCATTTTTTTCCGGTGTCATAAATTGTAGAAGGTTGTAATAAACAAAAATTTTAAACAATAAATAACAACTTACTACACAAAAATATCAATGATATTCGACAACATTCAATGTCTCTTATAAAAATGTAAAAAATCGTCGCCGCACTACAAATTGTGGTTCGCTGTAGTCGTTCCTCATAAAATACTACAACTTCCATGAAATTCAACAACATATAAATTTCATTATGGGACTTTTCTTTTTAAGAAGCAAACGGCATAGTTCGTTACAGTTCCTCATGAAATACTACAACATTCAATGTTATTCGACAACATTCAACGTTTCTTATAAAAATGTAAAAAAGAAATAATAGGATGGGCTTGTTACCAGGTATACACAACACGCAGTGTCGTCTCTGCTGTTTTTTGTCACAAGCAATAGCGCTAAATTTAAATCAAAGTTTGATTTTAATACTATTATCCATTGTAGAAAATTGTAGTGACTAGGCGGAGAATAGATTAAATTTAGTTGTAAAAGATTGTAGAAAATTGTAGACTTCTGGGACATAAAAAGTTGTATCTTTTCGTAATATGGCATAATTTTAAGGTTTATAGTGAGCTACAACTTGCCACAACTTTCTAGGAAATGTAACAATAGTGTCCCAATCCGCGTACTTTTTTGTAAAAGGTTGTAGTGCTTAAACGTAATGAAAATAGGACCAAGTTGTAGCGAATCATTAAATGTTGTAAAATATTTTAGCAATTTCTCGTAGAAAGTTGTAGTTTTCTTGTAAAATGTTGTAGATGTATTTCCAGTAAGCAGTTATACTCAATTTATTGTATCTTAATGTATGACCAAATTTGGAATTTGGTAGGTATAAGTATTTCTATCATAAAAATAACGGTCCTCGCCCCTATCTTAAAATGAGCCGTTAGGGTTCGATCTTTTATTATTGGTTTGGTCATGAAAACTGTACATTTTTATGGATAAATATAGAATGTTTGCTTTTCGTAGAATTTTGCCCTAACTAGCGGAACTCTTGTGATTCTTTTACGGAACCTCGGCGAACCACTGCTCTAAAGATGTATATTAATAAAAATAATAAATAAGCGAACAAAATAATTAAGAAAACAGGAATGAGGAATTGCATTGTATCTGTATGTATAAGATCGAATGTAATATTATATTAAACTGTTTACGTTAGGGGTGGTCAACCTGCGACTCGCCTTGAGCATTTTGTCAGCCCACGAGATTCATCAGTTTTACAAAATATATTTATTTTTTCACGACCAAAGTAATGAAAACCAATGTATTAAAAAAATACATTATTTGTACAACGATATATTCAAAAATTATAGTCGAAATTATGAGAAAAAATTAACTGGTTTTAAAACAATATTCTTGTAAATATACCACAAATATTGCCTGTCTTATTAATGTGTTCACCATTGACAACACCACTGTGTGTGTAAGAGTAAAAAACCTTCTCAATTTTCGTTTTTCATTATTTACAATAGATATGCCAGTGACAAAACAACTGTTGAAATTCATTATAAGGGATTTTTTTAACAAAATGAGAAAACTAAAGCATAAAAAACAAAAAGTAAAATAAACTGGAAACTGTATTTATTCACTACCCTAAAAGCAAGAACGTAGCCAGGCTAGCCAGATTTACTTTCTGTATGGGCTAGGGGTGGTCCGCACCTTAGTGGGTTTTATGTTCTTCATTCTTGTCAAATGCTGTCGCTGCTAGCATAAAGTCGTAAAATGTGGTCAGTTAGCTGTATTTAAGTAATTAATTCGCAGAATACATGCTTTATGTCATCACTGACTGTCATATTCTTCGTACGCGTACTTTTCTCTAAAGATATACAAAATTATGTTCTTCTCATCATTTACTATTAAATTGAGAAACAAAATGATAATTTTAATTGTTTTTGATGTTCTGCGCATTTAAATTTTAACCCCCTAAACACCTTAGTTATTGTGGGGGTACCAGGGTACCGGTACCAAAATGATCTGGCACATCAAAGGAAAACTGACTTTTGATTTTTAAGTCAATATTTTATAATACCTTGTTTTCTTGCTACTGCATGCAATTAAAAATACAACTTTATTATTAGTCAAGGCCGAAGTGGAATTTTCTTGGGTCCTTAAGTAATTTAGCAAACATTTTCATCGAAAAAAAAAATTGAAAAGCTCGCGATTTAAATAAAGTAATAGATATTTTTACATTATTCAATAAATATGCAGTATAAAATTGTATTAATAAGTAGAGCGTCTTGGGTTATGTGAAGCTGAATGTTCCCGGTTTTAAATTTTGCGTCATATGGTAAATATTCGGAACATTTAAAACATGAGCTTTGGCCCCGCTTAGAAAATGTCCAACGTATTATAAAAGCTCTTTACATCCATTGATATAAATGCAATATCTGAAAGTCCATTGCTAATCTCATCGTCAGGCTTACAATTAGAGCATAAACCTTTAAGATCTCAGGAAGCACATTCAATTTTAAATTACCAGATGGGCGGGAGTTTATCACTTTATATCGCTTTTTTTAAATTACAAAAATATAATAAAATAATAAATAAATTTTCTCACATATTAATCACAAAAGATGTTAAATTGACCTTTAAATAGTTACATTTGAATATTGAACTGGAACGCTCGTCAGTCCCAGTGTAAGGAAATTGATGCCCATGAAAAAAGGCAGCTAATTTTTATCCATACAGAATCTCAAAATTTTCTAACCGTTAACTAATATTCTAATAGCAACGGTCTACTAATGACTTTGAATAGAAATCGATGCCAGAAATTCCTAATTTTAAGGAGTCATTTAATTATTGTAACCCTAGGAAGTTAAAAACTTTTTACATAAATAGGTAAAGATGGTTTTGAAATAGAAATAAAAGGAAAACAAAAGTCCTAAAAATCATTTTTATTTGTAACAATAATAATTTGTATTTTATGAATCTAAAAAATCATCAAGCCACTCCTCTAGATTTTGTTTTTCTTCGTTATTAATATCTTTTTCATCCTTACAAACACTGTTTATATCCTTGACAATTTTTTTTGTTGTAGACAATTGTAGAAAATTGTTATAAAATTATTCACTTTCTACGAAAAATTGAAACTCATTTTTTTTTCCGGTGTCATAAATTGTAGAAGGTTGTAATAAACAAAAATTTTAAACAATAAATAACAACTTACTACACAAAAATATCAATGATATTCGACAACATTCAATGTCTCTTATAAAAATGTAAAAAATCGTCGCCGCACTACAAATTGTGGTTCGCTGTAGTCGTTCCTCATAAAATACTACAACTTCCATGAAATTCAACAACATATAAATTTCATTATGGGACTTTTCTTTTTAAGAAGCAAACGGCATAGTTCGTTACAGTTCCTCATGAAATACTACAACATTCAATGTTATTCGACAACATTCAACGTTTCTTATAAAAATGTAAAAAAGAAATAATAGGATGGGCTTGTTACCAGGTATACACAACACGCAGTGTCGTCTCTGCTGTTTTTTGTCACAAGCAATAGCGCTAAATTTAAATCAAAGTTTGATTTTAATACTATTATCCATTGTAGAAAATTGTAGTGACTAGGCGGAGAATAGATTAAATTTAGTTGTAAAAGATTGTAGAAAATTGTAGACTTCTGGGACATAAAAAGTTGTATCTTTTCGTAATATGGCATAATTTTAAGGTTTATAGTGAGCTACAACTTGCCACAACTTTCTAGGAAATGTAACAATAGTGTCCCAATCCGCGTACTTTTTTGTAAAAGGTTGTAGTGCTTAAACGTAATGAAAATAGGACCAAGTTGTAGCGAANAAAACAAATACCATTAACAGTTGTTAAAATTGCTGTATAAATATAAATATGTTATATACACAGGTTGCATAGCAACCTTTTATTTTATTAATGGCTGTTTCATTAACTTCATCATTTGCTTCATTTTCTTCTTTTACCAACTTTTTTGTTTTTGATAAATATTCAAAGTATTCATCCTTTTTTACAGCAGCATTACTTTTTATTGCTTGCAATTCTTCACTCTACAAATGAATATTATAATCAATATGTAAAAAATGATTTACTTAAAATAAATTGCTTACTGTAAAATATTCTTCTGGAATATCACACCTTTTAGTCAAGGGAATTGTTGAGATACTCTTGGCGATTAAGTTGAGGTCCAATTTAAAAAGTTGATCTTCATCAATTTCTGTATCAGCAATTCTGTCACTCTTAAATTGAAAATGCCCTCCTTTGGATATAGGGGTTTCTGCCAAAATTGCAAAGTTTGTGGAACTGAGATCAGTGTTATTGTCATCTTTACACTCTTCATATCTGCTCCAATTATTTTGCAATGAACGTCTTTCTTCATTGATTTCCTTGATGCTGCTTTCATTACGCTGTTGAATTTCAGGTTTAAATTTTCTCTTATTTTTAACATGCTTAAGGCCCCTTAGATGACAAAAAAGAATCAGTAACTGGAATTGTAAATTTGAGATAACCTTACCGTGACTTATGACTATATAAATTCAAGTCCATCTAATTAGATTTCAACCTTTTGTTAAGAAACTAAGGATATACTAAACTTTAGTTTTTCAAAACGATAGCCTTTGTACTTTAAAAATGCTCATATTTACTGATTTGTCTACTTTTAGGTTAATTTATCTGTTTACTATCATATTTACTATGGTTAATTTATTTAAACCATAAGCTAATGTAGTGTCTAAATCCTCGTAAGGCAATGTAGGCAGTGGCAAAAGTTCCAATCTTTGGCACGTATCTAAATTTTTGCCTTCCAAGCGATTTTATTTTTGGTGATTCTTTTATGTTTTATTTTTAATCCCATTTAGTCTCCTCTTCATGCAATATCACACCTAACTGAACCATTTTTACCTCATCTTTAAAATTAATTATTAATATAATCGGAATTAATCAAACAATAAATTCAAAATAAGATTAAACTGAATTAACTGCCAAACCAGAATAAGCAGAAAAGTTTTAACAGTCAACTGTTATGGACCCCATCTTTCCTATCCCTTTTTCCCTTCAAAAATACTAAAAACGAAAGTGGTCTCATAAGATGGAATATAATCTTTCATAAGTAAATCTCATTGTATTACGGTGAAAGCAGACATAAAAATATCTATTATTTATGATTTTTGTAAAAGATTTCACTCGAAAGTAGTTCCATTAATCAATAAAATTTATGAATAAAAATATCTGGGATTCCTTTTAGGTTTATCTGGCATTGGTCTACTCCTCGGAGTCAGTTCGACATCTAAAGTAGACATATTTGTTACTGGTTCAGCAATTAGTATATCGCAAGAATATTCGCTAGACTTCTCAGTTTTGGGAAACTGATATCCATGTACATAACTTATGCCCCTTTCAATATCATTTCGTATATTAGAAACTACAACAGAAAGCCTTTCACCTTCCCATAAACTTAATCTTGGCATATACACCTTCTCAACTCCTCTTGGTCCTAAAAATCAGTTATCCAATGACAAAAAGTTGCGATTGGGACTTTTAATTTAGTAAATAGGGTACCTAATTTAATTACTGTTGACATATACGACAAATATTCGGAAGGGCGGCCGACTTGTTTCACAAATGCACACTCTACACAGTTACAGGCTCCTTTCAGTCCTCTGCATACTTGCATTACAAATTGGGCAATAGCATAAGCTCTTGATGTCTGGGGAGTCCGATCATTGTCATCATTTTTGGCCATCATAATAGACGGTTCAATATCGGCTATATGACTTTGTAATTCGTGAAATAACGCCTATAAATGATTGAATAATTGGTTACATAATTGCGGAAACATTTTTCGCCCATTTGGTTCATACATTTCCCCTTACACATATATTATAATATTACTTTTTACTATTAGAAATGCTTCACAAAGGAAGCATTTTAATATTGTATTGTTATACCGAGGAATGAGCTTTTTTATCATTTATTTATATCCCATGGTTTCACAAACGAATTTTATACCTTATTGTAACATCGTAGTTTTGACAGTTGCTTTACGTAAGATAAAAGTGCAACGGTACTTTTGGAACTTGATCCACCAATCACGGGACAGAATATAATATTCGGATCTATATTGAGGCATCTTGCCACCTCAGTATTGGCACGCAAAACATCGACTGTTGTTACTCCAATAATCTTTCGATAATCATAATTGCGTGACTTTTTGTATTCCTGATGCAATAAAAAATAATAGTCAGTACTTATACATATCTAATTAACGTATTTAACGTTAAGCAAAGACTAATTTTTGTCATTATTAATCTTATTTTAATTTTCACTTGAAAACATTTTTATTGTACTTTATTACTTACTTCAGAAACCATTGGTACTAGAGAATTAACGGGCTGTGTTGCAATGCAAAATATGGCTTTGGGATTAAATTCTGATGTAAATAATGCAATGTTTCTGACATCTTCAACGTACACATCAAATAATAGCTCTTCCTTTCTAGTTATGGTCTTTTTCTCTTCTGGACAAACAACAATAATGTGAGCATTCTGTAAAATACAAGTCATTGCTTGGATTAGTTTGCAAAAAAATCAATAATATTTAGTATTAATTAGCTCATTACTTCAATAGCTGGCTTTAATTCATTGACTCCACTGTAAGCCTTTACTACTGTAGATCCATCTATTAAATTCAAGTCCGCCACTACTTTTCTTATTCTTTCATTAAAATCAAAAAGACGGAGCTCATCAATTACGGGATATTGTTTCAAAATTAAACCAATATGATGTCCAGTTCTTGAGTGAGAACCTGTTAGGGTAACTATGAGGGGTTTTGGAGGGGAATTGGCAATATATGGTTTTATAGCAACTGATCTAGTTATGTTCCTAATTGTTAATTTTATGATTTTTGGTAACACAGGAAATTTTGAAAATCTCATTATAACGTTTTAATTTGATCTTTCACTAATCGATAGTATGTTATGACAGCAGTTTTGTGACAAAAATATATATATGTTTAGTAAAATATGAACACTCTGTATGTATATTCTGTGACTTTGTGGTTCTCTTATCTATGATGTTACTTATCTATCGTACTGTACCTTATCTATTGTCTTATCTATGACCATAGATTATCTATTGTATTGAATATATAAATCATAATCATTGAATGTCAATATATTCAAAAACTACTGAAGATATGATAATTTAATCAAAGATTGAATTATTATGGTGCGCAAAGTTTATTTTTGTATTATTTATTAGTAATGATTGCAAATAATACTAAATTTTTCAATAGCAGTACTATGATCATATTATTATCTATGATTCACCAATGGCGCATATTTATAAGTAATATCAATGAAAAATAATAGTAATTATGTATTATGTGCAATTACTACTAATAAATAATATAAAGATAAATTCCGCTTACTACACTAGATCATGACTGGATCATTCTTCAAGCAAAAATGACACGCAATCAATTTGGGTCAATGAAATAATCATATCTTCAGTAGTTTTTGAATAAATTGACTTTTAATTTCCACCTGCACCTTTTTCCTTTTAATAGAACAATTGTTACACTGATCAATAAAGATCACAGGAAAATCAATTACTTCTTAAAGTAATTAAATTAGGTAAAGTTGTTAATGCTAAATGAATAAAACAAGCACAGGCATTTTTAAATTTTATTCAGATCACATCTATAATCAAAATATTTACATAACTACACTAAAAATTTGAAAATTTTGCTTTTACAATTTTAAATTTTCTGCAAGAGAACAAGATAAACCAGTGCCATCAGGCTCAACTTGTAGTGATGTAATTTTACCATCTTCAATAACCATTGAGTATCGAAGGCTTCTGAAACCTCCCAGAGGTGCAATTTCCTTTCCCAAGTCAACTGCTTTTGTGAAAGCTCCTTGAGGATCTGCTAAAATACGTACTTTTCCTACTGCATTCTGGTCTTTGGCCCAAGCTGCAGTCACAAATGGATCATTTACAGAAACGCAAACTATTTCATTAATTCCTTTTTGCTTTAGTTCTTCAGAAAGTTTCAAATAACCAGGCAGATGTGTCTGAAGAATGATTTCTTAAGTCAATGGAATAAAATGGTAAATTAAGAAATTAACATACTTTAGAACAACCTGGTGTAAAAGCTCCAGGCACAGCAAATAAAATAATCTTTTTTCCAGATGATAAGTTTGCAATATTAACTTTGTTTGTTGGATTATCTTCATAAAGGTCGACATTTGGAACTGAATCACCAACCTTAAATTATTGTTATAAACTAGTTAAATCTACTACATACCTATAATTTTAATTGTCAAATATAATAAACACTGTGAAAGAGAGCAAGTAAATAAATTGTAGAATATTATATAATTCTAATTAAGAATTAGTCTTACTTTAACTGGCATTTTTGAAGATATTGTGCTTTGAAAAAAACGTTTAAGTAAATTTATTGCAACTTTCCTTTCGATTTGCACAGACGTTAACCAACTGACATTCATTTTTTTATGTAAGTAATTGTAAGTACCGGCGCGGTGGGCCGAACTTGTTATCTACCGTATCTATCTATCTATTTACAATTGTCTACAATTGAGAAATGACCATGACCGTTTGTTGTTGACCGTCAAAGAGTTAAAAATTTGTTATGCTTCAAAGCTCTACAGCATTGCCAGATTCGCGATATTACTATTTCTTTAGAAAATTTTATGACTGCAGAAATTTACAAAAAACAGTCCTTTTAACAATTTAACTACATTTACTTGTGTATAGATGTGTTATTTAATTTACCGCTCCTGCACAATTAAAATTAAAACAGGGAAATTTTGTTAAAAGATTTTAAGGAAACCTAAATTAGGAGATAGGCAAATTATATTTAAATAACATCTATGATTTATAACATTGGTTAATGATTATAGAGGTCGCTTTGTGTTTCCGCTTGTGTTCATACAAGGAACTTCTAACTGTTCTGCCCCGTATGCGTACTCGAAGCGCCATGTTGGCATTTTGCAACGACTGTTTGTAAGAGGTAGTCGTCAAGTACAGTTTGTGTCAGAAAAATTAACTGCATCTTCGTGCGTCGCTTCGATTTTGGGTAACTAATTGTAAACATAGCAGAAATTTGTAATCTTCGTCAATTTATTTGTTTGAATTTACCAATTCTACGTTTTTGGTGCGAATATCGTCGATTTATGTGCCCAAACTGACTTAGACAAAAACAATACTTGCTCCGACATTTTGAATTGGGCAGCTTTATTTAATATATTTTTATCACTTCAGTTTGTAATAATTGGTATACCTACTGCAATTAACTTCGTAAAAATTGTCTGTTCAAATTTCGTTATTAAATTATATGCGAGATGCTACCTACGTTATAAGTAAGCGAATTTAACTACGTACTAAAACAATATTACTAAATAATTTGCTTCGCTGCGAAAATGGCTCCTGAGAATATTTTCTTAACGAGACAACTAAAAAAATGTCATGCTTCGGTAAAGAAAAAATGCATTAATATGTTACCTAGAGCTCGCATAAAAATACGTATTCGCCCAAATGTCTAATTTCTGAATTAATTCTACGCATGCATCCTATACATTCCGCAGAACAAGAGCATCATGAGTAAAGATAGAGGACTAGACAACGCTCGTGTCTATGTTGGAAATCTACGGGATTCAGTAAAAAAAGAAGAGCTTGAAGTGGAATTTGAAAAGTTTGGAAAACTAAATTCAGTATGGGTAGCGTTTAATCCACCAGGATTTGCTTTCATCGAATTTTCAAATTCAGTTGATGCTGAGACCGCTTGCGATAATTTAAATGGCACAGATTTGTTGGGTTCCAAAGTAAGGGTTGAAATGGCCAGAGGGAAATCACGAAGAGGAGGTGGATTCAGAGGCGGTGGCCGACGGGGAAGTGGTGGTTTCAGAGGTTCTAATCGAGGACCTCCTTATGCTAGAGATGGTGGAGGTAGTGGTGGATATTCAAGCCGAGGGGGTGGTAGTAGAGCACCAGCAAGGTATGACAGTTATGGCGGAGGCGGCAGCCGTCGCGGCGGCCCAGGTGGTGGTGGTGGATATCGAGGAGGTGGTGGTAGAGATTTCAGCCGAGACAGGGGCCGTGATAGCAGAGGCAGGGGTCGTGGGGGCAGAGGAGGCGGCTCAAGATACAGATCCAGGTCTCCTGTTTCAAGAGGGGGATATTAATTTTAAGAGAGAAATATTTAAATTGCCTGGTTTGATATTGTTTTGTGTGTAGGTAATACTTCGAGAAAACAGTACTACCACTTTGTCAAAAAGCTTATTTCAAGCTATATAAACCTGTAACATATTTTAAAGATCTGATTCAACAGGATTTCATGATTTTTGTATGACTAGTTTAAGAATTATTGCAAAGAATATGAATAATAAATGCTAAAGATGATAAATGTCTTTTAATATGGTGTGAAGTGGATTAGTAAAGGTAAATTAGTATGGGTTTTGCTATTTTTTTAAATAATTAATAAAAAAAAATATCAGTTGAATACACCAATGCTACAAACAGAAGTAAGGAAAGTTTCTTTGATCGCGAGTTTGAGCTATGCAGTAAAATATTAATAACATTTAATAGAAAAAGAAATGATACTTTTATTAGAGATCAATTGTAGTTTTATAAATTAAGTTACTAGGGAATACATGTGCTAATAGATCTAATAAAATCATAATTACACCTTATCAAGCTTAAGAATTGCTAGTAAGACTAGCCATTAAAAGTTCCATTTTATGCAAAAAATTTCGCCCCTCCATTTTTTCTAATCTTACGTCACGGAATTGTCCCCCTAAGTGTTCCCACTTTCTTTCAGTAACTAATCGACTTGGAAAGAAATCCGTTCTTGGTGAATGAGCGACTGAAACTTGCACACCAGACTGGGGTTCACATCTTACGGCAATTACCCTGTCTCCATTTGGCGATCCCAGTAAACAAGAACTAGCGTTACCTAAAGGTTCTACTGATCCTAATCCTAAATGGTTAGAGTTGCCCAGAAATTGCCACCCCATGGTTTTAGCCAAAGCTTGTACAGCCAAAATTTGATGCTGATTTATGTGGCAAAAAATAAGATCCCGCAGTTCTTGGGGCTCATAACTCATGTGCATAACTTTGCCGTCTCGACATATACATTTCAGGCTCTTTTCGCCAACATGAATTACTAGAGGGGTACGACAAACGGCATCGTAGCCATGGGTTGATATATTAATTTTGACACAAGACTGTGTAGGGCTGTTTAATGTATTCCAATGGGAACTGATTAACGGATCTTTAACTTCTTTTGCAATTGTATCCAGTACATATTCTGTACGCATACGCATAAAGAAATGTTGAGCCTGTTTGATGATCTGCTCAAGAAGTGTTTCAGTATGAGTCATTTCGAGAAGCTCGTGACGATCTGCAGCCATTGGACCTACGACAAAAAGAGTTACTAAAAGTGCTATTCTTAGGAAAGGTTGAAATAAATTCTGAAAAATAAAGTAGTTTTTTACCGGCAAGGTATCGCTTTTTAGAAGGCCCGAGGGGCGCAGAAGATGGGTGAGGAAATGGGTGATGTGTATTTTTATGATGAACTTCACGTAACAATTGATGTAGTGAATGTTCTAATACATGGTCGTGATCACTTTTAGAAGGTGCTGGAGCAGTTTGTTGATTTTTTTTATCAGCTGTCGCAGAATGGCAGAGACCAATTACTAATTGAATTCCGGGCAATACCTAAGATAATAAAATGTAAACTTAGCTTATACAATAAGAAATAATGATAAAAATTATAAAACGTTTTACTGCTAGTAAGAAGTTACTATTTTTGAGAAAAAAAAAAACGTTATCTTGTATAAAAATATAATATAAATGCAACTATAACACAGTTTGTATTTTGTAACTTACTGTTGCCATTATCTGATTACCAACAACCATATGTGGTATAGGAGCTTGTAACTGCACAGCCTCTTTTGCAAGCTGATTGAAAAGTTCTTTACAAAAAAGTACATTTTGGGCAGCTTCTAATTTTTGCTGCCAATGTACTTCTGGATTTGCTGTTGGAGGTCCAGAGCCCAAAAGATTTAAGTTTACACTACATAAATCTTCTTGGTCTGAAATTGTGAATGCTTATTAGGATTAGCATAATCATTCATATAACAGTATAATATAACACATAATTTCAAAACAAGTTAAGTTGTTTTAAATAAAATTAAGATGTTTGCATACCTTTTTGACATAATACTTCAATATAAGCAACACCTTGTAGCTCTGAAGGTACAGTAACTCTAAGTGAGCTGTTGCTTTTGGATACTTGAGCTATTCCAGGGGCCGGACTACTTGGTGGGCTGCTTGTTTTCTCTTCTTCCTCTGCTTTTGTTACTTCAAACATTCCACTTTGAAAGAATTTTGAACCAGCAGTACGATAACTAAGATCTCCAATAATTGAGTTTGAAACTTTTTTTAATCTCCAATTTTGTCTCAATCGTAATAGCTCTATGTGGAAGTCTGGAGTTTGTCTGTTACGCAGAATTTCATTTTGAGAAGTTTTAAGTCTCTCTGCACCTAAAATTTTAATGTTGTTACAATATTTATATATATTTGAATGAAACTAAAGGTAATTACCTGTTAAAAGGACATTTGCAGCACCAGCAAGTGCTTTTTTACGAGCATATATTTGAACCATTGGTTTTGTTTCTACAGCCTCTTGTTGTACTGGATCTAGCACCAGATATCTCTTTTCTTTGGCAATTGCAAGAACATCTGCTAAAACACAGACCTCCTGCAAAGCACTTCTAAGTTTGCTTCTTACAGAATCCCATGGCCAAAGGCTTGACTGAAATGCATCTTTGCTATCAGAATCACTTTTGTTATCCTCAAATGCCTCATCAGTGTCTTTTTTAATATCTAGTTCATTTGATTTACTGAAGTCAATCTTTTGAGCAAATTTTGCAAGGCTCTCCGAAAGAGTAAGAGGTCTGAAAACAGGGCTCCTATAGTTTTAATTAAAGTTTAGGTTACAATGATCTTACGGTTGGTATATTTCTGTTCCATCATAAGTTATTTCTTGAATCTGATTTTCGATTGGAGCCTCGACTGATATATTAACCGAATTCGAATTATAGGACATTTTAAACTTTGGATATTTCTCTTTATTATTTAAAACCTAAAATAATAAAATCAAATTCTCAATCTAGGTTAATTCTTCTTTTTCATCTTCTGCCAACTGCCATAGATAAGAGATATAGAGTGGATCAATCTTTTGCTGTATTCAAGTGTTCTACTGATCTGAGACAAAATCTACCGATTGCGAAAGATGCAGTTCTATGGCATAGGCAAATATCTCTGCGATTTGTTAAAAGCATTAATTGTGGTGTTTTATTTTGTTATTTTGGATTAATTGAACAGGTAATATTTTAGTTATATATTAATAAACGTGGACGGTTAACATATTTGGAAAGGGTCGTGGACGTAATACAAAAAGAGACTGTGGTGATGAAATTAATAAAAACAGGAAGACATAACCCAAATTCACCACAAAAATTTTAAAATCGCGGACACGTGTTTCGCTCACATACCCTTGTGAGCATTCTTAACGCATGATAGTCTTGTATTCTTAAAATTGTTGTGGTGAATTTGGAATAACTCTTGTTTTGTTTTTATTATCATTCCATGGATGAATTTTGCTTAAATATGTAAGTTACGTACACATATCATTGTTTTTTATATGTTTTAATTTGTATTTATCAGCAATCGAATCGAAGAGGCGTTAATTTCTTGTAAATGTATAATAAGATGACAAACAAGAGAATGCTTAGTTACAAAACTTTTATTTATGGTAAATCCACAATAATTATTTCGCCAACACAGTGTTTTTTTTAGGTGGAAGAATACTATGTTTTCGTATATTGTATATAAGTTTTGTAAATAAATTTTATGTTGTCTGTATTATATCAGCAAATTTTCATAAACAAATTAGGATTTATGTGAAAGCACATGTGGTTGGACTGGGTTAGGTTAGGTTAGATTTCACATATATAAAAACCACCCTTGCATAGTATGATTTTTTACAATTAAACAGTGGTTTTGAGGACGAAATGGCAACTAAAATTCTGTCAATCTGTTAGTTGCTGAAGTTTTGTCCTCGATAACATATAGGGCATCTTCAGAACCATTCCGCGATGTTGGTCGAGACGAAATATCGACTCGACGGAGTACCCTCTTATTAATTTAAAACTAACTAATATCCATAAAAATGAGCTTTTTCCAGTATCTATTCTGATTGCTAAAACAACCACAATAAATATCTACTTGCAAAACTCGATGTGGTTTCTGGTCGAAAGCTTGGTCTGTTTACTATTCTGCCTATTCAATTATTAAGTAGAAAAAGACGAGGTATTAATACTTAAAAAAAAAAAGCACGATCTTTCTAGAGTTTTCGATACCATAAAAATATTAGATATTCAAATTCGCATATTTTCATGAACTATTATGGTGTCATAATAACATAGAGAATTGCCGTGAATTAAAATATATCTTCATTAGGTCAAGGGAAACTTTAATAGGATATTAGGATATGTGACAGTTTTTAGTATAGGGACAGGCTCGCTGTAATCGGGTGTACAGGCGTGCACCGAACGCGGGTCGCACGTTTAATGGGACGGTAAATTTTCTTCATTGTAGTTTTTACAGTTGCAAAATATACTTAGAATTTTAGAAAAAAGTACAGAATGTGGAGTTGACCGACTCTTGCCGAAACTTTCAAGGGTTTCGAAGTCTCGGCAAAATTGCTTAAAAATTGCACCTAATAAATGTTATTTTGTAAAGAGAAGTTCTCACACTTTGAAAGACTGCAAACAACAAAAATAGTTCACATTACATTTAAAAAGTGTGTAGACACTTGTGAAATTAAAGTTGCTTTAACTGAACAATCAAAATAAGCGTAAAATTCTATCAAACGTTGATAATTGATTTAAACCTTTCCTTTTTATTTATAAAATATACATTTTTTAAGTATTGTATTTTTACGTGGTCCTAATCAAAATACAATAACACAATATTTAGGTATGCTATTAAAAAAAAAACACCCCCCTATAACAAAAAAAAACGACAATTTTGCACAAATTTTATTCATATCCATTTACAACACTGTACACGTCAAGGAAAAAGAATAAGGAGTGGTATGATTTACGGAATGAATTCCCCGAGAAACAACCCCGGTAAAAAAGCCCCAGTAAAAATTTTCCCAGAAAAAAAAATTCCCATTGACACAAATCTCTAAAAAATTATTTTAAACCAGAGCATGTGTTGTAAAATAAGTTGAATCCTTTATATACGTATAGTGTAAGTAAATTTTCATTTTTTTTTTAATGGGGCTCACAATGTTACAGTCATTGTTTTATTTATTTTATCCCAACAAATTTATTATGTGAGTTAATTATCGGGCGAATTGCAGTATTTCCTTATTAAATAGTAGTAAAACTTATACTTAAGGTTTAGTTCTTCCTAGGGGGTTTATTTAACTGGGGCTATTTTTGGGGGAAATTTTTTTTCGGCGCTTTTTCAATTTTTTCCCTAGGGAATTTTTTTCCTAGATTTGGGCTGCTTAACTTGTTTTGCATGCGGGCGCTCAGGCGGCTAGCGGTGGGCGAGATATTATTAAAAAAAATAGATCTTATCAGTAAATTTTATTGAAAAACACAATATACTAAAGTAAATAGTTGCGCTTGTAAAAAATACATTAATTTAAAAAATTAGATAGTAAAATTTTAATAAAAAAAAAGACGGATATGTGTAAGCCTGGCAGTCTGCTTGCTACCAAAAGGTTTCGGTACATCACCTTTGAAAGCTATGTCTTAGAGTGCGCTGGACTATAAGTGAGCTAGTTCGATCGAGGGGGGATGCTCCATTTTTCTATATTACATAACCTGAGCAGGGCTCGGAAAAAATGTAATGACGCTCCTGATCAAGGGTTCAGGAGCTTTTGTATAATTTCTTACCTTTAGAAAATAATCGGGCAGAAAGGTCAAAAGAAATAAAGAAAGAGGAAAGGAGAAGTTTCCGAGATAGGAACGAGCAGAGTAGCGACCTATGCAAACGAGCTGTATACGGTCGATACAGGCGGTCGGATTGTCGCCGCCCTTTTCTCCGAAGTGAGGCGACGCGAAGACCGTCGGCGTCGTGACCGGCGTCGACGTCGCGTCGTCGAAGTCGCAGAAAATCGTGAATATTTAAATGCTCCTTTGAAAGCGTTCACGTGCCTCAAGAAGAGAGTCCGAAGATTTTCCGGGGCCAAGGAGAAGGATAGCGGATGTTAACCCGTTTCACTTGTTTGTCCTTATTTTCGAGAGACGAACCGGAAGTGCTCTGGCACAGCAAAGGACGTGGAAATGTACACACGACGATAGATCGATTCCATTTACGACAAAGAAAATATAAAACACGTAGCTTTTCTCAAGCAGCGGATGTTTGCTTGGATATAGACTTACGTCCTGCAATTATATTGTGAAAAGTATATTTATATGACGTAAATATATATTAATTTAACTTCTTTATCTGAAATTAGGAATATAAAGAAAGCGCTTAGTACGTGATAGATAATTTATACGTATATGACACTTGAAAGAAAATTAGTTGATTGTCAACTATTCTTCTAATTGTAAAGATACAATAGTTTTGTATTTTTATGATTGCTACAAGAAAGATTAAAATAATTCGAAATGGCCTTGTATTCTGTCGAAACTGCCAGACGCGGATCGCGATTTCGATCTTTTTGGATCTCATCAGCGCGTCGCGGGCAGCTCCGACAGAACACAGACCAACTTTTACCTGCTGTCTTAACAGTGCGTTTTAGAAAATACTACAAATGGCGCAGTAAACGCCATCTGTAGCACATTTTACAAGATTGTTAGTAATATAATTGTGACAGTTAGATGTGGATTAATATAAAACATTGAGTTTAATACGTACCAATACCGTTTATGTCCAACCTATAATTTTAACACTAGGTATCTTTTACTTAAAAGAAAACTTTCAACAGCAAAATAGGAAAGTAAATTCATAAGTAGTAGGTACATTATTATTTCTAGTTGTATCTTTGTTTAAATTAATATTAATTTAATTGTGCTGTTAAACTGAGTGTATAGAATTCTTGTTGCCATTTTTGATACTAAATTACGTTTTTTATTTCAGAGTGCAATGTGTCAAGTGTTCGATGGTGCTCTACCGTGTGCAGCGTTAAGGTAGGATGATAATTTTTATTTTGATTGGTTCTAAACCCGAACGTTTTTAATTATTCGACTTGCAAGTGAATTATTTGACATTAAGTGGCAGTATATAGTTGGTTTTTGTGTTCCCACAGTGTGCAATCTGACATAATAACGACCCAACTAATATACATAATAAGACGAGTTAGCTATTACAGTAAATTTTAGTTTTCAGTCATTTCTCACCGCGTAAAATTCGTTTTACGAGATACTCTTATACAGGTGAAATTTACTGTATAGTTCCTAATTATCTTGTATGCTAATTAATTCGTACTTTAATTTTCCTCGTAACGAATTTTAACTTTAATTTTGCAACAAACTATTTTAATAATATCGTAGCTGTTTTAATTTCAAGGCTGTTACACGGAGAAAATGAAAAAGGAAAATTTAGCCTAATATTAAAGCTATATTTACGAGTTATCCAACCAGCTCATTGCTTCGTGAGCGAAAATAATAAAAATTACAATTTGGACCCGAATTTGTAAAAATAAAATCCCAACAGAAATAAATTTACTAGGTATTTCAGTTGATATTACAAATTAAATTATAATAATTGAGAAATTTGAAATAATTTTTAAAAAAACGTCAAAATTAAAATTATTACAAGTTACTTAATAAATTCTGCTAGGTATTTCTACGACAAATTCGGTTATTTATATTCTAAAATTGTTATTTTTGCATTTTCATAAAAATTACGGCTTCTCCGTGTACTGTTTGATTAAATTATTAACAAGGTAATGGGATTAATTTGAGTTTTTTCAAATAATCATTACGTAGTTATAATAGACTAATGAACACCAATTTGGTGGAGGCGCCGGACATTTTCGAAAGACGTGCATGTCCACGTCTATAGTTACGATTTCAATTGGATTAGTAACCGATTGATGTGATATATGTCTTTTGTTGTAAAGAAATGTAAAAAATAGGTTCGTAATGTAGCACCCCAACAA